CGCGCAAAGCTCTACGCATGACACACAATGTATTAAGAACACACATGTACCAGCATAAATTAGCTGTAAAGCGAGGGGGTGTACGAACGTAGGTCGCTATCCACAGTCTAGGAAACCACTCTCGGTTTAATTTTGATGGCTCCCAAGTGTTCGGCCGAGCTGACAGTAAAGTGACGAGATAAGTAAACGGGCACAGAAAATCAGACGCAAACTCCATGAAACGTAGCACCAAACTATCCGTGTCATACGAGGTTGCATTTATTTTACCTACGCACGATGTGGGGTCCAATGAGACAAGACGATGGTGAACAAAATAGGAGACACTAGGAAGTCCCTATTCTAACTTACATATTTACCCATATTTCTATATCCGATGATGCGTGATCCATTAACGTGAAACGTCAGAAAGATAACCATTCTCCTCCAGAAATCACCCTTACTGTTTTCTCCCATTCGGACACCCAGGGGTAGAAACTTCGACCCTATGCATATATATATATATTCACTCAGAAATGTGCGAACAATGATCGAATAGGCTTCCGAACAAAACAAAGTTCTTGTGGGGGTCAGAGGTCAACAACGGGTGACCGCCTGCCAGGCCGACCCCGGCCAAGTCATAATAGCATTCATACCCCATCTCAGGTTTCGGAACCACCGAGATTCGTACTTGGCACCAATGGTCATAGGGTTTGCAAAACTACCTCGGCACCACGGGTTCGGTGCTTTGTTTGTTGTTGTCGGGGATAGGATTGAACAAAGGTGCTCATCCGATATATCTGGTTTAGACACATAATTGTCCCGGAAGTGCTTTGAGGCTCTTACTTGAGCGATATCGGGCTTCTCGCTTATCGAACACAGAATATGATGGAGTGGGTCCGACAAGGACAAGGGAGACCGGAATGGCCATTTCTGGCTTCCTTGCCGTCATCAGCTAGTCATACCATATCTAAGGGGAACGAAACCCCTAGATTCGAACCCGGGATATTTGGTCATTGGGATTACTAATCTACCTCGGCACCCCGGGCTCGTTGCTCTGTCGGTTGTTATCGGAGATATGATGGAACAAATGTGCTCATCCGATCTATCTGCTTAGGGCACATACTTGTCCCGGAAGTGCCTT